CTAATAAAGGAAAATGAGAGCAGTCAGTCACATTGATAAGGGGAGAACCTGTAAGTAGAGAGCAGTGTCATATAAACCTAGAAAGGAGAGAATATCCAGAAGAGGGTGACTGACAGCGTGAAAAGTTACAAAGAATTCAAGAAGGGTCAGGATTGAGAAAGAAGTGACTTTGGAGAGAGGAGATTCAATTGACTGACAAGACTGGAAACTAGACTGCAGAAGGCTTAGAAAACAATGAGAGGAGAGGAAGTATAGTATAGATTAGATTCCCAAGGTTTTTAGCCAAAAAAACTAGGGGAGGAGAGAGAAAGGAAATGGTAGAGAGATAGAATGATAGCAGGGATGTTAAGCTCAAGAGAGAGTTTTTAAAAAATGAATGAGAAAGGTAGGTAGATATGTTAGCCTCAAGGAAGAAGCTTGTAGACAGGGAGAGAGGAAAGTGGGATGATAGAAGGAAGCAAATTGGAGGAGATGGAAAGGGGCAGGATCAAGAATGATTGAAGGGGGATTTGCTTCGGCAAGAAGGGCCACCTTTTTGTGAGACAAAAGTGAAGAAGGAAATAGTAGGTGAGGATATAAAAAGTAAAAAACACTATGGGAAAATACTGTAATTCATTAATCTCCAAATTGGTCTTTCATTGCAAAAGTCTTAGAAGACTATCTAAGTTATTTAAAGATCTCAGAGAATCCAACAAAATGTGTTGTAGTAACAACAAATAAATCATTTGTGCTTTCATTCTATTCACCAATTTATTCATTCATTCAAGAAACACTTAATAAACTCCTAATATGTACGAAACACCAAGAGATACAGAGATAACTAAGCAGCACCTTGAGGAGTTGCTTAATAGGTGCTTATTTGACATAACACAGTCCCTGACCTCAAAGAGCTTACAATACAGAATGTCAGGTATACAAACAACTATAATAAAATTAGAATATAATAAAGGAGAGGTGTAAGCAAAATGCCATAAGATTTTAGAAAAGGAAGGGACCACTTACAGCTAGGTAGATGGGGACATCTTTCATAGTTGGGGCACTAAAGTAGAATTTCAACAGGTGGAAGTATGAATAGCAGAGGACATTCCAGGTATAGAGACTCAGAGAGTGGTTGGCAAGAAATTGCCGCTTTCACTGTAACACGCAACACAGGAGCTACAGTAGCAAATAAGGCATCATGTGAAAGCAGAAATATTTTAAAAATATGTATGTGTAGGTGTGTTTTAAGTGATGTCAACAATCCCAAGCTGTTTCCTGATATGTATGAATGAATTGTGATTTACCAATGGATGTAGTACTCATAAGAGAGATCACAGATCCACTGAAACACTGAGTTATATGTATTCAGTCATCAATGAATTTTGAAAGAGAGAGAGAGAGAGAGAGAGAAATTGACAAGATTTGGTCTGTTCTATCTGTGCACATCATTTTAGGACTATTCACAATTATTAAATTTGTGAAAGCATTGACAATCAATTTCTAAAAATTTCCTAGTGGTAGAAGCAGGATAAGCAGTAAGTAAATTAATAAAATGGAGAAGACTGGGCAGTAACCAGCCTTTGACAAGATTTGGAATGTTGCCTTAAAGCAGTTTTTTTTAAATTGTGCTGTTTGAAACAAAGATCTCTATCTCAAAATGTGTTGTGATCAGTCAGATACTGAATATGGAAATCTACACTTGGATTTCTAAAAAGTTCATTCACTGGCAAAAGCTTGCAATGTAGGTGTGACCCCTAAATAGGCAGCTCCTATAGACTTCTTGGAATTTTCAGGATTTGTTTTAATGTAATAAGATATAAACTCCTTATTTTAGTAAACTTCCTCCTTATTAATCACAAAATTTCATAAATCTTAGCATCATAGGATCATAGGCTCATAGGTTTAGAGTTCAGGAAGGGTCCTTAGTAGTCACTGAGTCCAATTTCATCATTTCACAACTGAAGAAACTGAGGCAGATAAAGGTTAAGCTACTTACTCAGGGTCACATAGCTGATAAGTGCTGAATCTAATTTTATCTTAAGTAATTAAGAGTTAATTGAGTACTCTGTACTTAAATGTAGAAGAAGATAATAACTACTGGCATTTATGTAGTAATTTAAGGTTTGCAAAGCACTTTTTTTCTGATCTTCACAACCTTATCTCCACTTTACAGATGAAGCAACTGAGGCTGAAAGAGATTAAGTGATTTGTCCAAGGTCACTCATCTAAGTGTTTGAGGCAGGATTTGAACTCAGGTCTTCCTGACTCCAAGTCCAGAATTCTAATCACTGAGTTATCTAATCATAGGAAAATATTCCAATACTCCAGTGGATCATTTGTGTGAGTGTTTCCCTTCAGGGATACACATTGTAATCTCCATATCTGACCAGCATATGTGACTCTTGTCCATATCCTTCCATAAGTTTGTCACATTTCATCCCATATGCTAAGGGCTTTCTGCCAATGCTCTTGATGTCAAGAGGATACTATTTATCTAATTTGATCTTTAGTGATTCATTTTAAATCCTTTTATGATAGTCATTTCTGTGTTTTTTTTTTCAAATGACACATATGGTCATTGTAACCAAAGTGTCCTGTTGTACTCTTATTTTTCCACTCTTTTATGTCGTAATTTGTATATCAGTAGACTAAAACTATGAAACACCCTTATTTCTATGCATTAAATGAGTTGTTGCATCTTTAATGCACTATATTAACTAATGTACATAAGAAAAATTCACCCTGGATTTTAATTCTTTATTGCATTTTGTTTTTGTGTCTCCTACGGCTTACATACCTATAATTGTTTTATGATGGCTGGCAACCAATAACCCAATGATAGGTATGTAAACCATGTAAGACACAAAAATCAAAATGCAACAAGGAATTAAAATGCAAACAAACCCCTCCATTCTAACACTATTAAAATATGTGTGTTTGACCCTGTTGATTTTATTCATTAATATGAGCATTTTGATACTAAAAGGAATAAGACATGTTAGATATATCTTCATCTCAACATTCAAGTAAAAAAAATAGTATTAGAAAAGCTACCATGTTAGCAAACCCAGACCTTAAGATTATTTTTTCTTAGGAGGCAATCAGTGTTAAATCATTTGCCCGGGGTCACACAGCAAGTACACTTCAGGCTGGATTTGAACTCAAATCCTCCTGACTCTAAGGCTGGTGTTCTAGCCATTGCACCACCCAGCTGCCCCACCTGAAGATTCTTACCAGTGGAAAAAGGACTGAAGAGTTTGGAGAATGTGTGTCTGGTCCCAGCTACCACACTAGCTAGATGTATGATCTTAGGCAAGTCATTTAACATTTTGGGCCTCATCTGAAAAATGAAGAGGACGACGGATAACCCAAGTGATCTCACAGATGCTTTCCAAGCCTTTGTGTCCAAAAGCCAATTACTAGATCTAGGTAAGGGGTAGGGAACCTGTGGCCTTGAGGCCCAATGTGACCCTCTAGGTCCCGTTCATAGAAGGATTTGTTCTGTAAAACTTGGATTCAGTCAAAAGGCCACACTGGATGATTTAGAAGGCCACATGGGGTCTCAAGGTCACAGGTTCCCCATCCCTGTTCTAGGCCTTTCTTAATGGCTCAGGATTGCAGTTTCTGAAAGTTCTATAATTACCACCCTCAGTATACTTCCCCTTTTTTGCCATTCCCCTCTGTCTACATCACTGCAGTACCGTGAGCAGGATGTAAGGGTCAATCTTCTCCATGCTCCTTTCCTGATGACTAGAGTGTTCTTTAAGCAGAGAGGGATCAACTTAGAAGAAAGATATGAGAACTGGCAAACTCCCCATTCCTTTGAAATTGCCAAGAAGATGGTGAAGATCCTTTACAGAGTGCAGAAATCTCATACAGATAAATTGGTGTATAAATTTGGAAAGAGCCCTTAAACACTTAGAAATCCTCTGTTTTCTCTTTTTTTACAATTATACTTTTGTTAAGGAAGGTGATGTTCCAAGTGCACTTCTGGGTAGAGTTTCTCTCTCTTCTTGGTATTCTTCCTGCTAGTCAGACCTACACATGAATGAAGAGGAGACTCTCTTGGTAATTGGTGGCTACATTCCCAAGTGATTGGGAAGGAAACAAAACAAAACAAAAAAGCTGGACTCATATCCAGGAAAATATTTTGGGTTCCTTTCCCCCTATTTCATGACCATTTTATATCATAGCAATCAGGTGTCTCCCATGGCTTCAGCTATCTTATCAATGACCTTGCCCCACCATGTCTAGACCAAGGCCACATCCACGTAGAGGAATGCACAGCCAAGTGCCCCAGGCATGAATCTGTGCCCAACAGAAACATACACATCATCTGTAGGGCCCTTAAATAGCTTACTTCCTTCACACAAAGGGGGTGAATCACGATAAACATATAGAGGGATGTATAACCAAATCCACAGCTAAGTAACTCACAAAAACCACAACTGTTTATAAACTGCTACATGAATATTCACCCTAATGATTGTACAGTAATCAGCTTATAGTATACACAACAGAACAATAGAAATCTGGGGCTTACAGATTGCAGAAATGAATAAATCATTATTTTTTAAAGATGTAACTAAAGATAACACATTTTTTTCTTTTATGTTCTCAAGTGGGATAAATATAAGAGGAAGCAATTATGAGAAAAAAGCAACAATTTAGACTTCAGCGTCTGTTCCTACAGATTTATATAAAAAAGAGTAGTCCTCACATTACTTCATCACTCAGTTTAGAGTTCTTGTATTGGTCTCTGAATGAATCAAAAGTAAAACATAGTCTTACTTTGCTTTCCAGTTTTCTGAAATAGTGTGGCTTTTAAAAGAGATATTTATACTACATTAGCCTTATTCCTAGCCCAAAGCTTTGAACATTTTGTGGCAGATACCTATGCTTACTTTCTAAAATATGAGATAAAATGATTGATTCTGGATAGGGTAAGGGGGAATTATGATGTCATAGGCACATGTTATCTGACAACTGTGTCATTAAAGACCAACTCAGTAGAGGATCCAAAGAAACCAGAATGAGAACTATCAAAGAAGGAAAATCTGCTACCTTAGTAAGGCTAAGTGATGAGTACCACTGATGAAAAAACTTTGTACTATTTAATGTCATCCATCTGGCTTATTGCTCAGTTTTTCACCTCTAAAAAAGTCTAAGTTGGGCATCATTTCCAATGCAGGGCAGCCTGCTCTGTTTGAAAGAACATAGGCAAATAATATTGGTAATTTGAAATGGGATGGAATATTCTCTGGACTTCAGGCATAAATATTTCACTACATATGTGTTGTTGTCCGACTCTGAATCTAAAATGGCTGTTTGGCAAGATGATGTTGCTTGGTGACCAAGAGTATGTCTCCTAGACCACAGAATGATCTGAATATCAGGCCTGGTCCCTTCATAATGTTCTCGGATGGTCAAATACATTGAAGGATATATTTATTTTTTAAAATGCCCTACTGTCATATACTATCAGTAAATATTTATTAATACTGTGGTTTTGTAACCAGTTGAGATTAGGCTTCATTAAGAGATTTATTCTAAAGCCTACTATATGTCATGTATGGAAAATAAAAAATAAGACCAAGAATTTTAAAGCTACAAGATAATCCTTGCTTCAATTGAATCTATGTTGTATGTCTAGTCTGTGCAACCTCCCAGTTGCTATCAGTCCCTCTTTCTTTCATTAGAATCAAGTAGTTAATTAGCCCCAGCCTGTCCTCTCCCCTTCTCTCTTTTCCTTTAACGCAGCAGTAATGATGTCTAATTACCAGCAGCAGTGGATTACTGCACGGTCAGGAGCAAATCTCTCTGGCTGACAGCAGAACTGAGCAACAAGCCCCGACACCTCCAGGAGCTGAGAATCATTCTTGGAACTGGACTGGAAAGGTATCTACCCTTCCCCCCCCCCCTTTTTAAACTAGTATGTCTGTGGGGTCAAAATAGCGATTATTTTTTTCATTGAGTAAGTGTACTCCTATTGAAAATGGCCAATGAGCATTTCAAAGAGAGAAATAATTTTCCTATATGGGGAAACAAATAGTCTAGAAACCTGGTTGGGGGTGGGGTTTAAGGAAAAAACTCTGATACAGAGGTGGACTGTTCCTACAAGCAGAAGGGGCTTACATTTCTGTGACAACAGCAGCATAAAAATTTCATCAACTACCACACAGCAGTAGGGTTGTTCATGAATTATAAACCTCTTCAACATTTTGGTACAGTTTTGAATGGGAGGCAAAGCTTTTAAGCTCTAGACAAGAACCATTGTTTTCTCACCACTAGAAAGTTAGATGGCTTCTTCTATAAAACTTCCAGATGTGTTTTGCTTTTAAGGAAAACCAGAATGAATTCACTAACTTATCATGGGCTTTAGAAAAATTTCTGTAATAATCTTTAACTATGCCATTACAACTCAAACTCAGTGTGTCCTTAGTAAAGGTGTTTCTGAGGAGGTGATGTTTGGCATTCACTTTCATCTTACAAATTCACATGATTTTGGTGTTATATTTGGGATTACATATAAATAATTCCAAATGACTATATTCAAATCATAATCAGTTCACTCAACTCATACATAGGTGAAGCAACCTGACAGGTTAACAGAGGGAATTAAGTTTTCCTAGAAGAAAGAAGGTAGAAAAAGTTTCTGGCACCACAAATTTTCTCTAAAACATACCTCATTCTAATCAAAAGGTATTTTCATGTCTTTATTATCTTTTTTTAAAAAAGTGGATTATTCTTTTGTTTGTCTTTAATTAGTCTAATAATGTCCTAATGAGAAATAAGTCCATTTACTTATAAATTATGATTTCTATTAGCTAATTTTTAAAACGGATTTCCAGTTCTTAAAATTATAATTTCATAAAATGAAAAAACTGTTGATGTTCATTCTACTATATCTATAATATATACAGATCATTTGAATAGTCAACTCAGCTCTACAAATTATGCCTACATTAAATAGCTGGGTGAGGGAAGGATATCAATTTAACAGTTGTCTTGAATAAAGCCAAAGGGTAAGGAAAGGTCTGACTCATTGATACAACCAAACAAAACAGCACAGTTTCTATCCTTAGTTTGTGTCATTTACTTCCATTTCCCATTTTCCTGATGCCCAGATACCTATAAAATATACCCACCAAAAAAAAAAATTCTTATTTGAATAGAAGAAATTGTTTCAAATGTAAAACAGCCTTCTCACTGATACCTTAAAAAAACTACATTCAAATATTTTCATTTTCCTCTATCATGGTGAAAGTAGAGTAACTCCCTAGACGTCTCCTCTTTTGCATACTCTAGGGATATTGTAAACAATGACTGCCAATAGTAAATAAGGACGCTTAATAAGAAACCAGAAAGTCGAGGTAGAAATGAAAAGATGGATGTGTTACCTTCTGTCATCTCCCAAATCAAGAGGCTACCTACCGTAGCATGATGTAGAAAAAGAAGCATTATTAATTTGATATATGCAAACCTACTTGTGGCCCATAGTTCCCATCTTCTTAAATAGGAAATTCTGGTGCTCCCGCTGCTACCCAACATTATAGCTCTTCTGCTATGAGAAAGAACCAAGTCTAGCTTTCCAGGCTCAGATCTCGCAAAGCTGGCAATGCTAGCGGTTCCCAGCGACTGTGCTTAAAGCAAGCTTCATAAGCTTGAGCAATCCCAGAAAGAGTAAGCAATAAATACAGCATTTGATCGCGCTCAGAGCCCGTCTCTCTCTTTGTTGATCATCGTCTAACTGCTTCTTTATTTGCGGAGGGGGAGCGAACACACCCGCATATCTAAAATCTAACCAGTCATCGCAATAATCCAGGCGTGCGTGCCTGCCGGCTGCCCCGCGTCTCCCAGGCTGTGGTGTAACAATAAAACCTGATATCCTGGGGAAACCCCCAAATCAACGACCAGCGCCACACTCGGGCTTTGTGCCAATAAGGAGACACTGTACACTATCGATCAGAATCGTACATTATCAAACCGGGCAGTGGCGGTGGTGGGATGAGAATGTGGCCTTTATGTGGCGGGCAGGACACACGCCAGACAGGCAGCTGAGGAGACGGGACAATAGCCCACCCCCAAAGCCGTCTCCTGCCCGGAGAGAAGCTGCAGAGGAGGGTGCGGGGAAGGGGAAGGGAGGGGACTCGAAGTGCATTAGGGCTGTTGCAATAAAGGACCACAAAGACTTAACTGTGGGGAGAAACGTGCCTGGCAAATGCGATATGGGGATGACTAGGGGGCGGGCAGGTGGAGGGGGGGAGGGAGAGAAACGAGCCAACTGTGGCTTCCCCCTTCCCCTCCAGGCTGCCTCGGTGGGTCGCTCGGCGGACAAACAAGAGAGGAAGGCAGGGACTTCACTAACCGTGGTTTTGACCGGCACGAAGAGCACTTGCTTGCCACCTCCACCATTGACCTCGTCCGAGTGGCCGAGCTGGAAACCTTTCGATTTGACCCAGAATTTAAATTTGGCATTATCCGTGGAGCTCGACTCGGAGCCGTTCAAGAGCTGGACGATCCGGTCGTATTTTTTACGGGTCACAGTCTTGGTCTTTCCGGAGTCTCCATAAGTCCGGAGGCACCAGTCCTGAAACTGACGGTACATGTCCCGGTCGCTCTCCATGATCCCCTCGGAGATAGCCGGATACCACCCTCCACGCCACGCCACGCCACGCCACCGAAATGGGCCGCCTGGATTTTCCAAATGTACTTTGCACCTGTTCACCTAGTGCTCATGAAAAATGCATCCACTACCACAATGTGGAACAAGAGGAGGTCCCGCTTGCAATCAAATCCTGGCTTTAGGGGGCTGGGGTGGGGGAGGGAGGAGAGGGTCCGGGTCAGGGAGGGGGGTGGGGAGCAATCAGTGCCGAGATCTACCAAGTCGCTTGTTCATTTTTAATTGCACCGGCTCACAGAAGAGGGGAAGACGGGGGTCTCTGAAGCTTTTCTTATCCTTCTACGTGATCAGTCTCTTTAATGTTGTTCAACCAGGACCATCCCAACGTCTCCAACAGCATCTAGCCCAGAGGGGTTTGATTTAAAATAACTAAAACACGATATCTTGGTTTGCTAAAAATGCAAAATGTTTACTTGTGTTCAGGCCTAGGATAACATCCCTCCTCCAGGTCCCATCCCGGATAGCGCAGGTTTAAAAAAAAAAAAAAGCCTGCCCTCCTCAAATCTCCCAGGGTTTTTTCTCTCCTGATTGTCCTGGAGGATTGATCCTTTCCCTAAAGCAGTCTCTACCCCGGTTGCAAACACTGGAGGGCAAATTGGTAGCTTGAGCTCACCCCCTTCCAGGGTCCTGCGCTCACTGCTTTCTTTGGGCGTTAAGCTGCTAAGAGCAGTGAAAGTTCTTACCTGTCATCTCATAAACCTATCAGAATTTGTTTCACAGTAACAGAATTCTTTCTTTTTTAAAAAATATCATGAAATTTAAGCTCCTCATATTCATCTGGGCTGAATTGCAGCTCCACATCTATGTCCTACTAGTTAAACCCAAGATATAAGCTATTCATATATTGATATACATATAGAGTTTGTACATGATCAACTATTGGACGGAATAGAGATTTCAATTTCCAGTTGGATGTTGGTAAATGAAAGAAGGCGGCTGTCGGTGTGTCTGCCAGTTTAATAATGGTGCACACATGTAGGACTCCTCTGGTTTATCCTCCCGTCTCCACTAAACTGGTCACGAGACACTGAAGTAAGTTTATGGTACAAAAGCTTAGAAAACCTTTGTTTAAAATAAAATCTTGATTGATTTTCTCCCTTTGCTTGGCCAATAGTTTCAAATTCATACATTCGGTTTCTGGTTTCTTTTTTCCCCCTGCCACGTAATGAACACCCCCTCCTCTGATGAAAGTAGCCAAATTGTTAGTTCCGCCGGACGATTTTCCCAGGCAAATGTAGTGTGCGGTTCCTCCATTCAATATTTCATTCCATTTATTAAAGAGGTAGAAATAGGGGAGTTCCCATCTTCCTCGTGCAGTAGCTGCAATCCTTCCCCTTTTATTATACTCTGTTAAGGCATGAACTCGTCCAGTTCAGCTGCTTTCCTAAGTAGACTGCCAGACAAGTGCACAAATACCTAGTCCAATTCAAATGCCGTATTTCCCCTGTCTTCTGTATCCAGAGCGAAAGCAAGAAGTGGGGAGGAAGAGTCTTTGCACCCACCGCACGGCAGTCTTGTCCCAGCACTTGCAAAATGGTCAGTGCCTCCCTCTCCCATGAAGCCTGTGTGTATGTGTGTGCGTGCGTGTGTGTGTGTGTGTGTGTGTGTGTGTGTGTGTGTGTGTGTGTGTGTGTGTGAGAGAGAGAGAGAGAGAGAGAGAGAGAGAGAGAGAGAGAGAGAGAGAGAGAGAGAGAGAGAGAGAGAGAGAAGAGTGTCTATGAATGTATGAGAAGGTCTCGCGCAGCGGCTGGAGCAGGGACTGACAGCCCAGGCTGAGCTCGAACAGCTCCACACACTAAACCTCTTGCCTCTCCACCCCCCCCCGCCCCAACTCCCTTCTCCTCCCGCCCCCCCCTCCCCAGCCCCTTCCAAGCTCCCTGATTGGCCAGTGGGACAAAAGTTTCTGTGGAGACGGCTGGGCGCTGACGTCACGGGCAGAATTGTCCCATTTAGGGATCCCGGGGGCAGTGCGCATGCTGCAGGCTGCAGGTTAGAGACAGGGAGGAGGCAACAGAAGTGGTAGCAGCGGGCCAGGCAGCAGCCAGGTGGCAGAAAGGAGCAGGCAGCATCCAGGTGGGGGGATGACTCCAGCAGGGTTTCCATGGAGATTCCTCTGGGTCTAGCCTAAAAACAGCAGATCAGCTGACACCATTAGCTCAGGACCTAATTACTGCTTATTGGAGCAACAAATGAAGGAAAGGGACAGCTGCAAGGGGGAAGAGAGTTTTTGCCCCCCCCCAATCCACATCTCTCTTAAGAGTCCCGAGTGAATTCTCGCATTAACTTGCAGGATTCCTGCAACAACAGCTTCTTTGCGCCCCAGGCCACCCTGACTGTTTTTATTTTTCACCCTTTTGTGCGAGAAAACATTTTATTCTAAAATACATAAGTTGTCCTGAGTTGTGGTTGTTACTGTACAGAAAAACAGACATGCATTCGAAAAATTCTCTGCTCTCCATTAGCACATCTGGAAGACTAGTGGATATAATGCATCTGGAATAGAAACAGAACCTCTCTATTGAATTAGCATCTATCTCTGGGACATTCACCCATCTTTCATTTCATTGCAGTGTCTCAAGGGGTGAAAACAGAGGGGAAACTAGCAACAGGATGGTAGGACACTTTAAATCATCTTTCTAAATGAGGAAATATCTTTTGGTGACCAAGGGAAGAGAGGACCAACTTTACCATGAATGTTTTCATTGTGGATTCCCAGGGGGGAAAGTCCAAATCAGGATTAGTCAATTCTGCAACATCTTGAACAGAGGTTTCTCGGAGGAATCCAGAGGAATGGGTGGTCCTGGACTGTTAATTCAGTATTCACAATGCCGTCCAAAGAGCATACTTTCTCTCCCTGCTGTATAACTCCCTCATTATTATGGCTTATTTCATTTCCAAATACTGAAATCCTTGGCGAAAATTTCTCTCACTTTCCTTCCTTGACTTCTACTTTCTGAACCCTATTCATCCTTCAAGACCCAGTTCAGTCTTTCTAGGCTGAGGATGCCTTCTCTGAATACTCAAGGGCCCCTCTGAACCCCTACACAACTTATCGTTTGTATTCCTCACTTGGTACTTGATCACAAGCTACCCTGTATTGTTTTAAATAAGAAATTTAAATACAAAGTAAAATACTCTTCATTTGCATATACCTTGCCTCTAGGTAGACTCCAAGGAGCTCTGAGACAGAGGTTTCAGCTCTTTGTGTTGTCCAGAAGGTCTATACGTAATACATTGCTCATAGTGTTCTCATAACGTTATTTGTTGTGTGTGTGTGTGTGTGTGTGTATGAAGGTATGGAGCAAAAAGTGAGCAGTAGGCTTCCAGAAATGGACATTTATGCTTCTTTATTGGTTGTTGACTGTTGGCTTTGGGGTGATTCTTTGAAGTCCCCATACTGCTAGGAATTGAGCACAGTGAATTTTATTTGAGGACATACAGTAAAAGGTTAATTTCCTGACTCCAGCACACAATAATGTAAGCTTATGGATGTTCTGAACTGAAGATCCATTACAACTAGAAAAAAAGTAGCTTTAATATGATCAAAGAAAAGCAAATCATTTCCATTGCTATAAAACATAGTGCATTAAGAATTTCAAACCACTTTCCTCACAACTCTGGGAGGTAGATAACGCAAGTATTGTTATTCCCATTTTACAGATAGAGAAACTGAGGCTAAGAGAAATTAAGTCATGTCTATGACTCTACTTTTAAGTAGGTGCATGAAGTACAGATTCAAATCCAGGTCTCTATATTAATTAGAGAAATGCAAATTAAAACAACTCTGAGGTATCACTTCACACATATCAGATTGGCTAATATGACAGAAAAGGAAAATTCCAAATGTTGGAGGGGATTGGGACACTAATGCATTGTTGATGGAGTTGTGATCTGATCCAACCATTCTGGAGAACAATTTAGAATTATGCCCAAATGGCTATAAAACTGTGCATATGCTTTGACCCAGCAATACCACTACTAGGTCTTTATTCTGAAGATATTTTTAAAAAAAAGGAAAAGGATTAATATGTACAAAAATACTTATAGCAGCTCTTTTTGTAGTGGCAAAGGATTGGACATTGAGGGGATGCCCATCAATTGGGGAGTGGCTGAACAAGATAAGGTATATGATTGTGATGGAATGCTATTGTGCTATAAGAAAAGAGAAAGATGATTTCAGAAAAACCTGTAAAGAGTTACATTAACTGACACAAAGTGAAGTGAACAGAATCAGGAGAACATTGTACACAAGAACATTTTATGATGATCAACTGTGAATGACAGCTATTCTCAGTGATCTAAGACATTTTCACAGGATTTAGGATGAAAAATGCTACCCAGCTCTAGAGAAGGAACTGATGGAGTCTGAATGTAGGTTGAAACTCCTTTTTCTTCAAACTTTCTTTATTTTTCAGGGGGAAGATTCTTTCCTTTTTTAGTCTGTTTTCTTTTACAACATGATTACTAGGGAAATACATTTTGCATGACTGCACATATATAACCTATATCAAATTCTTGCCCTATCAATGAGAGGTGAGGGAAAGGAAGGGAGAGAATCTGGGACTCAAAATTTTTTTAAAATACATTTTAAAAATTGTTTTTATGTGTAATTGGAAAAAAATAAAATATTAAAGAAAAAACAAATCCAGGTCTCAACTCTAAATCCAGCAGTCTTTCCCATTACTCCTAGATAGTTAAATACATAGATAGGTATTGTTAAGCTTTTAAAAAAATATCTTGAGTTATGCTATTTCACAGATATATGTTTATGATTTTTGCACCTAAATGGGAGTGATTGGCACATGTTGAATTGAAAATTCAAAAGAATTGCTTGGTTTTTATTAAAGCAAATGTGATTTTCTTTGTGCATTCTGTATCAACAGTCGAAAATAATATTACAAGAAACTTGCCCTTTGTGGGAAACTATAGGAATACCATTTTCTTATAATTGTTGAATCTCACTTTAACAGATAAAAAAAATCAGAGAAATTCATGGCATAATGTGTAAGCACTTAACAGGCTGAGGCATGAGCTCCAGCTCATAATCCTTGGTCTTCCATGCTGAAGGTACAGAAGATCTTTGGAGTTTCCTGAAATTTGGTGCTGGCTTTTCTTGTTTTATACTTTGAATTGCCAGTAGAATAGCAGAGTACCTTGTGTACAGGGTCATTATGTAGAGACTTTCCAGAAAGAGTTACAACCTTATGCAGTAAATGACCTGGCTATCATAAATATCCAGAAATTCTCATGGCTCTTTTTCTTCAAAAAAAAAATCCCTTAAAAATAACTTTTTTGGTTGTTTTTTTTTTAAGTTACCCTGCCTCCCTCCTCCCATAAAACTCTCTTTTGTGAAAAAGAAGCAGAGTTAAGCAAAACAAACGAACACATTGATTATATTTAACAGCATATGCCTGGTGCTTTTTCGAGATATAGGGGTTTTAAACTGTGTACTTGTAACCAAGATTTGCACTTTTCCTACAGTCATGCAATGCAAGCCATGCTTTTAGAAGTAGAGAATGGAACTAGATAATCTTTAAAGTTGAATGATTCTATATGAATAAATGTCTTTTCAGTCACCTTTATAAGAATAGAATTTGGTGAATAAAATTTAAGAATAGTTCTGTATGTGCCTGTAGTACATATTTTAGCCTACTATGTTAGTTGATAATTATAATTTTTCACATTAAAAAGCATCATTGGCTTTGTATCAAGAAACTACTTGGCATAATAAATAAAGTCTGTACCTAGAGTTGGGAAGACTTGGGTTTGGGTTCTACCTCAGATGAGAAGAGAGAGAGAGAGAGAGAGAGAGAGAGAGAGAGAGAGAGAGAGAGAGAGAGCTAGAGCCCTGAGCAAAATCCAAGCCCCTTCACACCATTGAAACTCAACTTCCTCATTTTTAAAATGGGAATAATAATATCTATCTCACAGGGCTGTTGTGAAGATGAAATGACATAATCTAATAATAGCATCTATCTCATAGACTTGTTGTGAGAATTAAATGAAATGATGTTTTTAAAATACTTTGCAACCTAAATCACTGTAAAAACATGAGCTATTATGATTATAAACAAGTGCTAGACATGATAGAATTAATGTTTTGTTTTGTTTTGTTTTTGCCATCTTTCTCTTAGGAAGAGATATTCTCCCACGATTTTATTCTCATTCAGTAAAACTTACTGTACAGAAGTCCACACATCTATCTCTTTTTAATGGCATGTGATACACAAATGTAAGGCAAGATACTTCAATTCTTAAAAGATACAATATTTCATCACTGTGGATAATCTCTCCCCTGGTGCAGATCTTATTACTGTAACTGAAATACATACACACAAACACACTGGTGGCTAACTTGCTGGTAATGAACTCCTCCACACTTAGCTAGTAAGGATTCTATTTACTCTGCTATGCTGCCTAGAAGATATCATCTAGGAAATGTATGATCAGAAAAGAAGTCAGGTTGATCATGTAAACTAAATTAATGTTTTTTTCAGTTAACAAGCATTTATTTTCTATCCTTCCCTCTTCCATCACTGGGAAAAAAATAAGCAGAACATTTGTAATAAATATACATAGTCAAGCAAAGAAATTCCCATATTCTGGATGTCCAA